GGGAGAGGGAGAGGGAGAGGGAGAGGGAGAGGGAGAGGGAGGGGCGAAGCTTCTCCTCTCCTCTTGTCCAAAGCCAACCGCTTAGTACTGCTATCTGGATAAGACATGGGTACTTGGAAAATCCTCTGGATCCTCACCATCTGTACATCAAATAGCAGCTAGGTTTTCCAGTACCCAACACAGCACAGCACACTGAAAACATGACATGACACCTTAATTCTTTGAGAAACAAAGGCTCTGCGTTCTCATTGATTTCATGTTTTCCAAATGGCCATAAAATGGGAGCTTCCACTTCAAACAGTCACCATTTTCCAGATATTGTAACACAAAGCTTCACTGTGTTTTCCTTAAATTTGGGGGCATTCCTCCCTGGTATGCAATCTGTTACCAGTCTCTGCTCTGCACAAGCAACTTACCAAAAGATCAGCTGGCTTGAAGTCACAGACACACACCAATGTGCACGCTCTTATACAAGTATAATTCATTGCAGCACGGAAATATACCACATTAATCACCATTGCTATCCTGAACTGGCATCTTTGCTTAGGAACTAATTGCTTTGTATAGCAAATAGTTTCTACCCGTTGGCACAGTAGGTCACAGAATAGCAAATATCACATGTAGAATCTCGTGTCACACTCGCAAATAATCTCACCTCTAGGACAATATCAGCCATGTCATGGAGGCACAAGGTCAAGGTTCCCACTCGTGTCAAATTGGTTATATATGAGAAGGTTATCAGGATGACTGTTACAACATGGTGTGTAAACATGATGACAAAATCCTAGAGCAGCAAGAAGCAGAAAGAAATAAACAGTGAGATACAGTATTTTCATAGAGAAATGGGTTAATGTTTTTTAAACTCTGATTATATTACATAAAGATCCTGTTATGTAAATGCATATTAAATACCCAGCTAACAACTCCACTAAACAGAATAAAATAATCATTGCACTCTAAGGAAATGCAAAAAGATTATTCAAAGCATCTACACTTTTCAGTTCATAGGCATTTAAACAAATGAAGTAAACACTTACCATGGAAGTTGCTTTGAAAACATATATGTATACATACAAATAAAATCATGACATATTTCTTACATACCAAGCGATATTTAACATGCAAAACAATCATTTACAAGAGTTTAGAGAGTTAGAAAAGAACTGGAAAAACATTCCTACCATACTAAAATCTATTGACAGTCACCTGTCAAGCAGAAGTGTCAAGTTTCTACACGACACACAGACATGAGAATTTTCTTCACAAGACTTCAAAACATTATAAAAAGTATCTCAGTCAAATTTGCTGAACTATCAGGACAGTTTTGAGAAAATAATACCAAAACCCTGAAGAGAAATCATAGGCCACATAATTGGAGAGTTTCTTCATGCATCAGGTGCTGAGAGAGCCCAGCAGCAGCAGCTACCAGCTGCACCAACCGCTCTCTCTAGGGCGGGAAGAGCCCCTGGCCGGTGGCTGTGGAGAGGCAGCCTGCACACACCTGCTCGCTCTGCTTCCGAGCAAAGGCACTGCTGCTCCCGCTCAGCACCAGCATTTGCCTTCTCTGCAAGGCACACTTGGAATCCGTGGAAATGTCTGCAGCCTGAGCACTAACTAGGTAAGAACAGGACCTCCTCCCAGCCCACCATTCTACATTTAACGCGACAAAGTGCTACAAGTACCATCTCTTGCAAACATTCACCACTGGGCACGGTTGTTAAGAAACCTTCCTGATAATAAGTCATTGATAGGTAAGTGAGAGACAGTCTTACTAAAAATTGTTTACTTGCAGCTATACTACAGGCATGATCAGGCTTTACTTCTGTGTTCGGATCAATATGGGGAAAAATAGTTATAACATTCATCTGTGAGACTAACCAAACATGAATCAAACGTGAATATCACTGTGGCTGCTTTCATAACTGTGCTTTAGCACAGCCAGACACTGTTCAGGAACTCGATGGGCAAACAACGAGCTAACATTTGAAGCTGCAAGGTCACTGCTTATGTGATAAGGAGTACATACTTTTTATGTACTTTCCCATAACAGCAAGAAGGGAGGTGGTAAGTCTTGCAGAGGCAACGTGGTCTCGCTTCGCTACAATTTGCGAACAACATCAAACTTGCTGAAGAACTGGTACGCTTGCAAAACCTGCTAAGAAATCCAAACTTGCCTTGCTGATTGAGCAGATAATCTTAAGGAATTCACCTGAGGATGTTGGAAGGATCATTTATAAGGGTGACCATAGCACAAGCACATCTGCTTCCTGTTAATAGTATAAAGGACATGGTACAACACTGATGAGCTGAGCAGGGATTAAGAACAGTACTTGACTAACCCCTCAGGCTGGGCCGTGAGTCTCCCTCTCCTCCCCTTTCCTGTTACGCTGAGCTAAGATAACTCCTTAGCACTGAGTTCTTTTCCCTGCACATTCAGGGAGAAGAAATATGCAGGCATTTATCACTCTTTGCAAGGATATGAGTCCCCTGCACACTCTGGGTGAAGAAACGTTAAAGTGTTTTATTGTGACAAGCAGTATGCTGTACTCCATTTAGTAGCACTCATTGCTGTTTCCTAACTGGTAAGCCCATCCCCTGTAACAACTGCACCACTTAATGGCAGATGTTGTTATCACAAAGATATGGGGTCCCGAATAAAATCAGCAAACCAAAGCCCAGAGGCAGTTGTCCCTCAGGATTATTTTACTATCTCCTTTAACAAGCTAGCGTGACAGAACTGTCCAATTGTTTTTTTATGTAAGCAAGAAGATAGTCAGGAAACAAATATTCCTTAAAAAATGCCTATTATTGTAAAATTGCACTAGCTTCACAACTGCAATGTTGCTATGTTTTCCTCTCCTTTAGGAGGAAAATAAAGAAGATACGTAATTGTGCAGACTAGAAGGCTGAATGGATGCTGGGGGACTGATTCAACATGACACCTCTCTGCAGCAATAACCTGAACACTTCTGCAGCAACATTGCAGAAGTTTGCTTCTGGTTTATATATTGCTCAATGAATAGTACATACTGCCTGGATTTACTCCCTGCGTGCATAACTGAGCCCCGTTTCTCTGCATCTCTTATCTGAGACAATGAAGTTGTACCCATTTCAAGCTCATGATTAACGGGATGCTTAGCATTACAAATAATGCAAGCAAGAGATTTACATATATTCACCCTAAACTGTCTATTCTGTTTATGATGTATCATCCAATACAGTTTTGAAATTTGTAGAGACTTTCTAGAGATATCTACTTCTGGAAAATGATTAGCCAATTTAAATATAGGGGTGTTTTTGTATACGTGTAACTATAATAAAAGATTTTTAGGAGCACACTATGGTTGCAAATAGCACTCTTTTTTTTTTGTGGCATACTGGATTCTTTATTTCTTCTTTCAGAGTTATACTCCTCCTAAATTCCTATTATCCCAGAATTTTTTTCCTAGCTTATAGTAATTTAATTGACAGTAGAAAAAGGAATATTGAAACATTATCAAGTCCTTCTACCTGTATTAAATCATTTCACAACATAAAAAAGAAAAAAGAATCTCAGCTCAGAATACAGCTCAATGTATTGTTACTATAGAATGACTTGTATTGCCTCTTTTGCTATGAATTAGCACTCTACAGATCTACTCTTTTTTGAAGGAGAACCTAGATGAAAGAACAGAGCTGAATGGAGCTGGTTGCTGCTGATGCTGGCAAAATGGTCTTCATCTGATCAGAGTTTAGTTTTTTGATTTAAAGCCCATCTGCTCTGTGGTGAACATGAGCACTTTTCCAGTACCTTTCAGTTATCAGAAAGACAAACATATTGGCAACAGTTTTAATTTACAGTTGATATGGTTTATCATGGTTATATTTTAAATATTTTTATTAAAAAGAAAACACAAATAAAGGCCAGTATACTTGAGACACATGCTATGACATAATTAAACATAAAACAACATTCATCCACTTGAAATTTTATAACTCCAAAGATTAAATGTAGTATCATTTTAATATTAAATATATGCTTGTTTTTACCATTGTTTTATAGAAGAATACATTTAAAGCCTTCACAGGTCTTAGCAAAGCAACACTGTGAATTTAGGAGGCAGCCCTGCTCTGTTTTCATCATTTTACTCTCAAAATAATTGGTACATTTACTGGCTGCTAAGAGCGTTCTACTGCATTCCAGCCACTGTATAGGATCAGCAGCTTATCTGCTGATGCCTTTTCCCTTTGAATATTTGATTACTTTAGGCTCTTGATTTCCCTTTTCCCAATGTGCAGAAAAAAAACTACACATCACAGTACCAACAAGCACTTCACACTAGTTTCTCAGTGTTGAGCATCTGCAAGAGGTTGTGATTAGAAATGACTGCTCTTACCTTTCTTCTGACATCAACAAATTGAGAAAACATTAAGGACCAGTAGAATGACAATTCAACTAAGTAGTAATAATGAATATCAGGTGTCAGTGGCTGAAAGACAGAGATAAAAAAGGTTAAAGGGAACTAACTTTACACAATATGCACCTAGAGTCTGCAGGAAAGATGTTTTCAACAGAGATGAATAACTGACTTCTACATTTGCATCCAATGGGAAAAACAAAAATGTATAATGGCCCTAAGAAAGAAGAGCTCCCCAACCTAATGCTTTTTTTTTGTTTAAATTTTGACAATATTGTGATACCAGAAACTTATGTTGTTTTCCATCTAGAACACCGAATAAACAGGATTCTGCCTAAATTTGAGCTCACATCCTATCTCAAATGCAGTACAGAAGATCCTAAAAGTGTTTTGAAAGATTATTTAAATCACCTTGCTGTAATGTTGGTTTAAAACACAAAAGAAACAATGTTACAGCATACCAGAAAAAAAAAGTAAAGCTAATGTATAACCAGAACTGCTCATGATGAAAACACTCTGATTTTAAACTAGTGTTCTTTCTAATATAGAAGTCTGTTTTTAAGGACTCCAACTGCTTTCTAGGGCATATCTCTGTTTTCTAGGAAGATGTTAACATTTGGGGAATAAGAAAGTAATTAAATTTTTATTTGCTGCTTTACTAAGCAGCAAATAAAACCATTTTCAGCCATTTTTACTTGTAGCACTATTTTCATATATCGTAAGTCTAACTGCCACTCTTTGAAGCTGTAACTATCTTTTTGAATCATCTCTTTGTCCTGCTCACAAATCTGGTAAATACACTTTCTTTAAACAATAAGACTTATATTCTTTCATCCAAAGTAAGTCTCTCTTGCATGTATTATCAGATAAATAGTAGAAAATAGGGCTGAAAGACATCGTAAGATGTTATCCAGTCCTGCCTGGCTCAAGGCAGCAGCAACTGCAGCTGTATCATTTGTGACAAATTATTGTTCATTAAAACTAGGAGGGATGATGAGACTCACTTCATAGCAGAATCATTATTCTGCTGCTGCCCTAACGCTATGCAGGCTGTTCCAAAGTCCATTGATGCAATTTAAGTCACTATTTTTGTCCATCCAATTGTGGACAGAGAAAGGTTATGCCTTTCTTCACAGAAACTTCATGCACAGTTGAAAACTGTTAGAATTCATTTTTCTCTTTCTGGGGCTATTTAGACCAAACTCCTTCAGCCTTTAATTGTTTAATTTTTAAATGTTTAAATTGTTTAATTATCCTTTAATTGTTTTGGAGAATTCATTGCCATTTATATTTGAAAAGCTAGTGCAATGCCTTGATGATCTCTATTTTGAGTTCTGGATACTAAACACCAGCAAAAATACAAGGCATTTTAAAGAAGCTCAGCTTAAGCATTCAGACCCTTAAAAATGCTACCAAAAGCCATCCTCAAAAGTTATACAGAATTCTGAAGAGCATCTATCTAGGTCACATCTGAAAAATCTGTTACTTAAAGGAGATGTTATACTTTACAACTTCGAAGCTCCTACTACCTCTCCTTTACACCACAGGGACAAGGGGAACAGGTGGAGCTTAGCTTTCCTGAACAGGTTCTGAAGCCCATTCCTCTGCCATGAACATACTGATACTTCTCTCTAATGAGCTTAGTAGTAGTTAAAAAAAAAATTATTCTTCTCACAGAAGTCATGTGGAAAATTAGTTCTATCAAAACAAGAGGCATGAGTCAGTAGCACCAACTCACGGATCAAAGTGTATTCCAGGTATGATAACCCCTGTTATACTCTCTGTCTTGAACTCAAGCAAGATGGCGAGTATCTAACAATATCATTAAATACTACTGAGCAACCCATTAAAGATGCCTGATATTTATGTACAGCTCCACCATAATAAAAATAACTGTACAGAGGTGGTGTATTCGTTTCTAAGCAGCACTATAAACCGTACCTGATTTGGATACCCGTTCCAGCACTGTCTGGTATTCCAGAGCCAGGGTGTCTGAGAAAGACAGAAAACAAGTTCTTTAAAAACTATGAAATGTAGGTGCACAAAGATAATACAGCTGAAAGACAAAATCATATGAACAGCTGAGTATTTGCACTTGTTCTAAAGACCATGAGAGGTGAAGACAAGAAATAGATTTATCAAAGTTTCACAATATGCATTAGATCAATCTGACTACTGACAGACATTTTCACTTGGTGCAGCATGACTTTACACGAATGCATTTCACAAGCATGTAGGCTGCACATCCATCAGCTTGGGGCCAAGTGCTTATATCTCACATTACCTTCTCAACAGCACTACAAATTTTGGCCCTTGGCAAGAACTTTCCTTGCATATACGTGAACATATAAGCACCTTCTGATACAGTACTTAATCCCAGTCATACCCTCTCTAGAGAGTAAATCCTGCCTTTTGCTTTCCTGGTTGGTGACAAGAGTGTTCAGAGATGATAGACTTTGCTATCGTGCAGAATACTCTGGTGTCTGGAATTCTTTAGTCTTTCATTCCTTCTTTTCTGTGTAACTGAATGGATTCTAGACGGAAAGGACATATGGGCAAGCCCTTCTACCCTACATCTTCCATCATTAAATATTTTTAAAATGGGCAGTAAGAACATGGCCCAATCAACAGCAACCAAAACAGCTGTACTTCCTTTTTTTGTGTGTGAGCAGGAAGGACTCCTTTTAGATACTCTTGTCTTGCAAAGCACAGCTGCATCTTGAGTTCTGGCAGCACTTATATTTTGAGAAGCACATTTCTACAGCCAAAGGATCTTGCTAAAAACATGAAAGAAAAATGGATTTGAAGTCTCTGCGAAACTCCTTGACAAACTCTCAGCTGCTATATGTCCTAGTGTAAAGGGTGCAGAACACTTGGCAGGTGTCCTGGATTAATATATACCTACCCTTACAGTATTGTTTCTACTAAGACTATATTTCTTTCTAATGAATCCCTTATGCAGGAGAGTGTTATCTTGATTTTACCATAGGGTGGAGCAGTCCATCTTAGGCAAAGCATAGTAACAAACTCATGCAAAATATTGTATATGAGTGTCAAACCAAATAAAATGAACATTAAGCAGAATATTGCTCTAGGGTTTGAAGCCCCAAGTTGAGAATGAAGCGAGTACTACTGTCTTTATAAATAGGGAAGAACTGCACCATGCAAACAGACAGTATAAACACTAGTCAGCATTATATCCCCACTCCCCGCTTAAGAGAAAAGAGCTCTAAATATGATTTATCTTATAGAACATCCCTACAGTCTTTGCTGATTAGCAATTACGTAATATAAGCACAAAGGATTTTTCTGTTTTGATGGTTTTTTTTTTTTCTCCTTCTCATGGAAAGCAAAATAAAATACAACTTAAAACACATCTTCAGTGCTCCCGAGTTGGAAACATAATACTTATAATAACCATAGCTGGGTACCAGCATCTACCAATAACAGGCTTCTTAGAGTTTCTAACATGCCCTCAATAAGATGGCTGTAAGAATGGTAAGAGTTCCTTCAAACTTCTCCTTCTCTCTTTTCAGAAAAAAAAGATTTAATGCAAATGATTAATTGCATTCTTCACAGAACTTACTGTGCTAAGTAAATGCAATGAAAAAGGTCCTTCGAAACAGGCACAGCTCCTCTGCAAGTGTTACTGATATACAGAAATTAGAATATTTTTGTTTGGCAGCTGCCTAAATTAGAACCATCCAAATATTGTAGAATAATTCATAGTTTTAGCCAGGTTTGAAAAGCTATAACTGTCTTTCATATCAGATTCAACTAGAGATAAGAGATGCTTCCTACCCAATTATTTTCCTACCTAAATTACAGGTGCTAGCAAAAAATGCTCATTTTTCTCTTTCAAATATTGTGACATCTTAAGATTTCTTCAGAGAAATGCCTGCTACAGGAGCTGCAGATATAGAGGTCTAGATGCAATTAAAATGCTGAACACTAAATAAACCAGGCTCCACTGGAGAAGCTCTTACAGATTTAGCACAAAGCCTGAAAGGACACCACAGACAGAGGACATAACATAGGCATTAAGTCTCACAGACCAATACAGTGTGGAACGACTCCATCTCCCAACTCATGCAGGCCTCAGGAGGCCATGCTGCCATCTCAAACAAAATGCTTCTCCAATGCTGCTTGGAAGTCGTTAGATCCTACAGGGGCAACAGCTGGGCAACAGAGGCTTAAAAGCAGGGGATCTACAGTGTCTTCTCACCTTGGGTTGGTCCCAGTTCCCTGTTTTTTCCCCCCTTGCCCAGCTACTTGGTTCTGGCTCCCAGTGCCAGGGGATGCAGGCTGTGGTTGTCCTAGAGAACTTCAGGCAGAGAAAGAGTGCTCAGTTTAAGCACAACCTTCCTCTCTTATCTTCAGTGTGCATAGCCTTACAGGGACACTAATTTTTCCATGAAGAGCTTGGTTGTAGTCAAAGCAATGAGCAACAATCTTGTTTAGTCCACTCTGCACCTCAATTGTGGTGTACACTCTCCAGGCTTCAGCAGGAAGGAGAGGATCCTACAAATATCCACACAGCCTGTAATGTGACACAGTGGTAAGGGGTGAATTCATTAGGAAGGACTTAATACTGACATCTCAGGGCTCTGCTGCACCCGCATAAGCTCCCCAGATACGCTCAGCTCTCCCCCAGGACTCCCATGATGGACAGTGAAAAAAGCGTTAACAATTTAGCTGAAAAAACAGATTCTTCCTGGATAAATCTAAGTGGGCTACTGTTTCCATTGCCCACTTAAATGTCAAGAACAGACAGTAAAGTGGAAAGATGATGCTTGGAGAAGAGGGGAACATAAGTAATGGGAAGAAGAGCAGAAACACAAAGAAAAACAGAAATCAAAATCGCACTCTTCAACTGGAAACAGAATACTAAAACCTTCACCCTCAGTTTTGTCAAGCACAAAGCACAAGCCCTTCAATGTTGAAATCTTTGCTTATGTGACATGATGGAGCTTGGAACTTGAGCTTTACCGCACCTCGGTGCCGTGCCGAATCAGTGCAGCATCTCTGACAGTGAAGGACGATAAACAGCTGTTGAATCTGCTGTCATTTACAGGAATAAAGGCTAAATCTATTCTTTTCCTCTCCTTACAAAAATATGTCAGAAGCTACATCAAACCTCTTTTTAACTCTGTGATAAAAGGGAATAATTTTAGGGAGCTTCAGAAAAACCTTCTATTGAGACAAGGGAATGACTGAGGATTTTTTTTAAACTTGACCAAATGAAGGGAGATATCTGCACACTAGCCAGAAGCCTCGGGTTGTTGTGTTTGGTTGTCCTAGGTAGATCTTTAGAAAAAGCTTCTAATTGGGTTCTGATTTTCAGAAGCCTCAAAGCAATGAAAATTTGAATGTTTTGCTCCAAGCGCTGTTAACATCTAGCATGTGAAATATAGGTCAGTTCTAATAGTAAATGGGGAGAAAAAAAATAGCATAATAAAGAAACTTCTATTTGTGATCTGCTTCCCCCGGTCAATGAGTTGCCTGAAAGGTTGTGCTTTTCTTTTTTTCTTTTTTTTTTTTTTTTGTGCATATTTTTATTGGGAAGGCAAAAAATGCATCTGGTGAAGCATCACTTGACAACAAGTTAGATTTTGGTTCATCATACAGTAAGAAAAATAAGAACACCGCTTCCATATCCATATCTACCCAACAGAACCAATGGAGCAGAGGAAATACAAATTCTGTAGACCAGATCCTCAAAGGCACAGATAAGAAGTGCACATGCCATGTGCAAGGACTTTCCTTACTGGCAGCCAGCCAGCTATCAGGTACCCCTGTATCCCTGTACATCAGGCATTTTATCAGTACACGCAAATTCCATGAACATATTCTAGAACAGGTTGTCTCTTAACATTAAAAATGATATATATGTATCTTCAGGCAAGTTACAGCGTAGGTCACAATTCTGCAGAGCAACTGCTTTTGTGCAGCTAAAGTTACTTCAGTCACTGAGCCAGCTAAACAACCCAGTACAACTAGAAATGCAACAACACAATTTTATTCACCAACATTGGCGCACTTCTTCCCCACAATATATATTCAAACTTGGAAGTATGACATAAATAAGAGATGCACAAAAACTACAGAAGCGTTGCTGGCATTTGGCTTGCTTTTTCCCATCCTTAAAATTGAAACAAATAACCACATGTCAGAGGAAGAGCTCCAGATGCACATCATTAAGTCTCATGACAACAAAACCCAGATCTCTGCAGATCAGCTTCTGCCCTGGCAGCCTGGAGTACTAGACAGAGCTGCTACGTACTCAAGATATTCCTGACCACATGCACACGTTTCAGCTCCCAAAGGGGTTCCTAATATCCCAAATAAACCTTGACAATAATAAAAACTTCACTGAGTTTTTCAGCAGAAAAATAAACATAATTGACCTACTTTTGAAACACGTTTCGAAACAATAAATGTGACATTCTCAGTCCAAAAGAGATGTAAACATTTTTAACTTGGAAAACAATAATTAAAAAAGCCCACCATAAAAGAGAAATCCTGAGCATTCACTGAAAATATTCCCACTATTCTAGAATAGCAAAGTGTGGAGATTTTATTGGGCTTTGGATACTACATTTGGGTACAGTTCATAGACTATTTGTTTTCAATAGCTACAAGTAAATTAAGTGCTAAAGAAAACAGCAGCTTTGAAGTCAAGGCAATAAATATTTCTGGCATCATTCCACTCACCTCACTCCTGTTTAAAATGGGCAAATATATGCTTAAATGACTTACTGCATCCATACCACTGCTTGCATTTCATTATATCAAGAGAGGTCTTTGCTCCTCTTGGTAACGAGTTGTACAACTGAGGCCAGAAGGTTGCACAGGGTTTACTCAGCCTCCAAAATGTTGTGTGGCTTGTGCTTAGCCCTAGAGTTCACACGCACCATCTGATACACAAGTGTAATTTCTCTTTTCATCCACAGCAGCTGCATTCTCTCACCCTAGGCAGGATAGAGGCTCAC